TATTCAGAAAATTTTCAAACTTGGATTTCCATTTGTGCCACATGTGAAACTTCATATCTCCCTTAATAAAACGTATCATTCCCCTTAAAACACGCCTTTTATTCACTAGAAACCACTGCATCGTCATTGCCATATCCCCTTCTAAAATCATGTAAGAACTGATGTCGTTCATATATTTATGTTCCGTGATCTCAAGCCGGTCTCCATGGTTCCCAAGTTGCTGCAGAAATTTGTATTTCCACTTCCAACAAGATAACAAACAGTAAAGCCACTCATCCGTACGGTTCCGTGAGAAGGGCGGTGGACAGAAATGGCCTTGGAGGAACCCCTTATGATGGATGACTTTGATCCGTATCAAAGATATGCCTACCAAGTACTTGCCTGCTGCTCCTGCCGCCCGTCAACAGAAGTAAAAAAAACTTGCAACTGAGATCTCTGAAATCATTGCCACTTAACTCCTCTCAGCTCCAGCAACCAAAGGTGATGTCTCTGGCCCATTCCTAAGATTCTCTTGTCCAAGACAGACAATGCCTTAGAAGACCTCCATTGTTTCTTGTTACAGGTTACATCTACAAGAAATTCAGAATCTGAAAATGGTGTGAAGTTCATCAACCTCCTAAGCATGAGTCTCTGCTTTTGAATTTATATTTCCATGCTTTAGGATATCTACCCTTCTTCTTCTTACACAACAGCCTTCTAGAAATGTGATGTTGAGAAAATGTTTGATGAGCGTAGTGAGACTGCAAAATTACATTCAGAGACATCTTGGACCCTTCAGTAATCATAGAATGTGTCTGCATCTCATAAGATATACCATCAGATTGCTCTAAACTTTCATCCACACTTGCAGGTTTCCAAATCGTAGTCCATAGATGAGGCATCTTTGCACTTTTTATGACAGGTTTCTCTTCAGATTCTTCTGTAGTTGATTACTCTATCTCCTGCAACTCATGCTTTATATCACTGACACAAGTCTGAGATGCTGCAACTCTGTCCCCAGCGCATGAATTCTCATTATGCAGAGGCTGGAAAACTGAAACTATTGTCAAATGTGATACTGCAGAGCGTTCTGCCTCTTGGTCTTGAACAAGAACATCTTTTATAATTGGTGATGTCGTCTTCCTCATCAATTCATTCTCAGGCACAGCATCACTGCTACAAGATTCATCCTTTATTTTCACAGCTACTGAACGACAACTCAAAACAGGACCAAATTGCTCCAGCAATTGTATCTTGAAACCAGCCCAGTCCTTGATTTTTTTCTTGCGCAGCATCCCAGCAAACCAGCTACGCACAGCTCCACTTAGGGATGTTGTACTGGGCTTTAATGTTTAGGGTAGTACCAGCCCATCAAAATTTTTAAAAGTCCTGACCCTAATATTTTAATTGTAAAGTATATTGGGTTCATTTAAGGTTGGACTCGAAAATAATGGATTTAATAAAAATTGTGCCCTAATAAAATGTTTTTTTTTAAAAAACTAAACTACGCTTCTTCTTCTTCGTTCTCTTCGCCGAGGAGTAAGGGTTTCGTCTAAGCTTCTTCTTCAATCACCATCTAAGCTGTCGCCGAGGAGTCAAGTATATCCAGTTTCGTCTCTCTCTCTCTCTCGACTCTCTCAGGCTCTCGAAGCTCTCTCTCGATGCCGACGTTTTCGATCTAGCTTTGAGCTTTGTCTCTCTATCTCGAGTCTGATCCTCTCTCGCCTTGTCCTCTCAGACTCTCGAAGCTCTCTCCTCTCAGACCCTCTCATCTAAGATCCGCTCAGGCTCACAAATCTCCCTCGTCTCAGATCTCGTTTCAGATCTCGTCTCAAGTATTTCTCACTCTTTGATTTTCCGAGTCTATCTAAGATCTCGTTTGATTTTTGATGGGTCTGTAACGTTTTCGATTGTAGGGTTTAGCTCTTTCAAGCTTCTTTTTTTGATCTCGGAGATTCAGAGTCTAACATCAGCTTCTCAGGAGGGTTTCAACATCACAGCTTCTCAGGTTCTCAGCTTCTCAGCTTTTTGTTGATGGGTTTAGATACTTAGTCTAGGTTTGTAGTTGTATGGTTGATACTTAATTCATGCTTTAAGTATTAAAGTTTATAGGTTTTTCTGTTTCATGGATATTATTACTAAGTAGTTCACTGAGTCCTTTTGTCATTTGCATTATTATTAACCAGTCTTGTGTTTCTCTTTCGTTCTTTGTTGTCATGCCTTGACACATTTGATGAGCCTCTAGTGATACATAATTTGGTGGATAATCTCTTTGAGATAGGTTTAGCTACATTGTGTTAATTTAATTATTCTGTTTCGTCTTCCTCGAGAGTTAGAGGTTTATTTGAACTCGAACATGATATGTTTTGAAGCTCTTTCGTTCCTTTATTTACCAGTTCATACATAGTGTTGAAGCTCTTTTGTTCCTTTATTTAGCTGATATATTTTGATTCTGAGTCCCATGACTTCCAATGCTGTTGAAAGTTAACTCCAAAAAAAATTATAACTCCAAAAACCAATCTTTGTTAGACTTTTGCGGTTTTATCATGAGTACACAGTTTGATTGTTGAAATCTGATAGAAGCTTTGTGTGAGTAACTGATGATTGTTTCAAAACCCATTATGTTAAGAGGAGTCATCTACTAACCTCTTGTATTGTTTTTGTATTGAGTTTCAGATACTAATACTATGGATCTCCCGTCACTTGAAACAATTGCTGCTAGGGATGCTGAGAATGAGTACATAGAGGTGCAAATAGAGGGTGAAGAAGAACCTCATGAACAAACACAAAGTGTCACTCAGCCATTTCAACCGGTACGTAAAAAACGTAGGGTTAAACGTAGAGAAAATACTTCAAGGTTTTCTGCATCATTAACTCCTCATGAGCTTCTCACAGAGTCACCTCTGGAGGATGATATGGATGATGTAAGTTCTTCAAACTCTTTTCATTAATTCTCGTTAAAAAAATAGAAATTTCTCTCACTGGTTTGTGTGGTTTTGTGTATAACATGATCTCTTTGAGCTTGAAAATAGCCTCAGGTCTAGTTCAAGAAATGCCAAGTCAAATCTGGAAACCTATTTGGATGTTGAACCAAGACTAGAGATGAAGACTTTTGAAGACATAGAAGTTCTGAGTTTTTGGAAAGAAAATCAGCATCGATATGGTGATCTAGCATCAATGGCATCTGATATACTGAGCATACCCATCACTACAGTAGCATCTGAGTCGGCATTCAGTGTTCGAGGAAGAGTTTTGACTCCTTTCAGAAATCGGCTCCTGCCCAAAAATGTGCAAGCACTAATTGCTACTCGAAACTGGCTAAGAGGATTTGCAGATTTTGAAGGTAAAAGCTCCATTATTAATTTACAGAAATGGATTTCTTATGTTGTGTAACTAACTTGTATTCATTAACTTATAGGAGATATTGAAGATTTTTTTGATGAAGATGATGATGAATCTGCAAATAGTAATTGCAAGTTAATTAGGGCTCATTTAGGGCTGGGATTAAGTTAATTAAGGCTGGGTTGGGCTGGACTACCCAATACAACATCCATAGCTCCACTTAAGTTCAGAAAAATCTCTAATTTATAGTCATTGCTTTGATAACTATAGTACCTATCAGCTTACACAATCCAACTCTCTGGATTTACTCCAACAAATATAGGCAACTCAACATGTTGATCAACTTCCGCATTCCTTTCCTGATAACCTAACTGAGAATCATTCTCGTTTTGTTCCAGGTTGAGATATGGTACCTTCAGTGTCGACTCCACCACAGGAACAACATGAGAATGTGATTGCAAGTCTGGTCTCTTCCACATATCACCATTAAGTAGAGGTTTCAGTCTCATCTTCTCAAGATCATCATCAGCACCAAACTTCAGTAGCAATGTCTCCTTCATCTCTTTCCAGCTATTCATAGGCTTTAATGAATCGATGTACCTCTCAGCTTCGTCCACAATAAATCCATGAGCCATGGGTAACTTTTCGAAATCAGTGAGTCCTTCCCGATCAAAGTAATTCTCCATCCAAGAAATCCATTGCTGCAATTCCACATCAGGAAACAGGGGAACCACCACAATACCCATGGAAACCAATCGCAATCGGAACAGTACACAATATTAGGTTAGATTGTTTTCGAATCTCCAGATTAAACTTCACAAAAATCCGATCGTATCCAAACTCTCGTAACTTGATATAACCACAGCAGCTTCCTCTTTGGCGACTCGCTTCGCTCCACCAAATACGACACTCTACGCCTTCACTTCTGATCAACACCGTTGCGTCACCTTCACCTCACACTGCGTTAGATCTAAACCAGTATCACCGCACCAATGATACAGTTTACAAATCCCATAGCTTCTTTATTGAATAGAAAACTTGATTACAGGAGGATAACGAACAGCTTCGAAGCTTGAATCTGATTACACTCTCATGGCGAGTGTAATCTTCATCACTGGTCTCATTTCGATCAGGTTCAAGGACTCATGGAATCATTCACTTCCAACATTCAAATCATAAGGTCTCCTCTACTCGTACTCCATCTCTACTTATATCGCTGATTTGCTTCATAACTCTTAACTGAAAACCCTCTGGTATAATCTGAAGCTTTGCTTTACCCCTATACCTCAACCACGTCAGACGTTCACTCTGCCACGTCAGTATGAAGATAATAAAAGTCTATCAGTATGTTCTCAGGAAAATCCAAAAACTCATTTATGGTTGAATGATGATAAAGGTAAAGAAAAAAAAAACCATTACGACAAGAGATGTCACCAAAGATTCCAAACACTTATGCTTTCCTCTTTTTTTTCTCAAGAAACCAAAATGAGTTAAGATAATCTGAAGAAGGTTGAGTTAAAACCGTACCTTATTTATAAAATATCTTTTCTTTCACCATCTATTCCTAAACACATCTATACACACAACTCTCAAAGAGATTAGGAGACCTAAACAAAACAAAGATGCTTCAACAAGTTCGGCTTTTTGTGTGTCTTCTCGTGGTCATACACACTGTCTGCGCCAAGGTTTGTGGTAGAAGTATCAAAGGGTTGGATTTTTCCCTCACGTTATCGACTATATAATCAGTGGGCGGAACAAATCAGATTCCATATCAGCGACTTCTTGCGTAAGTTCCTAGAAATCCTACTTTGCTCGACCTGATACATATTTTTTATGGCATCATACTTGTAGATAAAATATAGATTATAAAATCCACACTAAGTTATTTATAGTGATTAAAGTCAAATCTTGGGAAGACAAATGATGTAGGAAACAATGCTCTTAGAACACAACGATACAATCAGAATTCAGTTGAAAAAAATTAACTTTGTTGATATGAGGTTTGATACAAAGAAATAATCGAAATCGAAGCTATAAAAAAAATAAGAGACTAAGAAATGAGGTCGATGAGAGTAGTGGTAAGCTCTAGGGTTTTCCGTCTGTATTGTGCTTCGCGCTAGCTCTCCTTTTATAGTTCCTTTCTTGGTCGATCCTATGCAACTATCTCCGCGATGTTTTGGTTAACGGTTCGATCTCGTAGGAGTCGATGTGGGTCGAATTGGTTACCGATGGCGATGTATGGGAATGGGCTTATTTAATTTCTTACCGAAATTGGATCCAACATTTGCCCCCCAATCTTTTTCCTTTGCCGAAGAATAAAGATGGCCCATTCAGTGTCAATTGAAGAGGGACGGTTTGATTTCTTTTTCATTAATAGCAATTCTTTTTGAACCGTTGGTTCGCGCGTTACTTTAAAATTTCAACGGTCAGGTACGTCGCCTTTGAGGAAAAACCCTAGACCCTTCCACTTTTTCTCGGTTTAACATAGAGCCGTTAGAAGTTTTTGGTGTCTTCAAATACCTAGACGTTATCTTCTCTTCCTAATTCTTTCTCTGTTCTTCTTTTTCTTTACAATTCCCACCTTTCCAAATTTAGATTAAGATGGCCGTATTGTTTTCTTTTCCTTTTCTGACGACCAAGGCGAATCGCCTCGAGAATTGTTACTCGACGTATGGTGCTGGTCGCGCCGTCGTGCTTGAGCTTGCTGCTACGTTCAAAACCCCGAGACTGTTCGTGAGGGCTATTGTGGGGCGTATCTCTCTTTCTTCGAGTCTTACAGACTCTTTTTTTTTTTCCGATTCCGGAGCCTGTCCTCGCCATCTTGGTTTAGTTAGGTTTGTCGTTTACCCACATGTGTCCTTATTTCTTGAGGCATCTTCTAGCTCTTTTGGTCAGAGATCGTGAGGAAAGTTAAGCGTTTGGTCTTACCAAACTCTGCCATGTGTGTTTGATGAAGAGAAACAACCAGAATCGTGGGACTTCTTTCATGACGCCTCTCCCGGGACGGCAAATCGTTCAAGGGATTCCATATCGTGATCAATATTGGCAAGATGAATTTTTTGTTTTCAAGGTTGATCGGTCATCGATGGGTGACTTTGATCTTTCAAGGCTTCCCCGTAATTGGGCCGGAGATATAGGTAGGTGTTAATGAAACACTTGAATATTTCGATCCCTTTTGTATGATCTGAGGGTGATTTGGTTTGTGATTTTTGATGGTTTTTGATCGGATTGATGGTCTTTTGTTGTAACAAACTGATGATGGATGGATTGATGGGGTATGATCGAGATGGAAGTGGTTCTTTAGAGTGAGATCGATGGAGAGATCAAACCCTTGTGTAGATGTGCAAGAGATCGTGAAGTTTACCTCCACAAACAATGATCTATGGCGAAAAGCCTTGCAGAGAATCAACTCCTAGGCTAACAATGTCCAAAACCTGAACAAAGGATTCACATGATCAAAGAGAAGTTTTTTTTATTGGAAAAGTGAATGAATAATCTGAAGCAGAACAATCTGTTTATGTAGAGAAGAACAGAAGATGGAACACTCTTAGACTTGTGTAAAAACGAGAAAGAATCCTAAAACTTATGCTCGACTGAAGACCGAGTAGTTGTAAAATATGACTTGGTTCTGGTCTTGTTTCTCAATTGAATTTGAGTCTGGTTTAGAGAGAACCAAGGCTGCAAGCGAATTCTTCAATCTCTTGGTTTGTGATCTGATTATTGGTCCTTGAGATAACCGGAGTGGGTCTTGGTCTTGATCGGTTTGGTTTGAAAAAGGTAAGGAAGAATCCGCAGGAACATTCTCAAGTCCAGCTCCCGCAAGAACACTCTCAAGTCCAGGATTCTCAAGTCCATGACTCTCAAGTCCAACATTCTCAAGTCCAGCACTCTTAAGTCCAGCATTCTCAAGTCCAGCACTTTCTAGTCTAGCTCGTTCTGAGGTATCACTTCCATCTAGATCTTCTTGATATTGATCATCTTCTGGGTCAGCCATGGTTTCATCATCCCTTTCTCCTTTAAAAGGATTTGACCTCAAATCTAAATGATCTGCATGAAATGGGATCAAGTCAGCAACGTTGAAAGTAGAGCTGATTGGATACTTACCTTGCAGGTCTACCCTTTAGGCGTTGTTGTTAATCCCTTCCAACACTTTGAAAAGTCCATCCGCCCTTGGCAATAGCTTAGACTTTCTTTCTACAGGAAATCTTTCTTTTCTCAAGTGTATTGTTACCAAGTCTCCTGGTTCCAATATTAACTCACGCCCGCCTTTGTTAGCATACTTTTCATACTCCTTGGTACTTTCTTCAATATTCTTCTTAAACTGCTCATGCAAAGACACAACATACTCGGCCTTGGTCTTTCCATCAAGGTTAGTCTGTTCATTCAGAGGCAAAGGCAGCAAATGAAGAGGAATCAGTGGGTTAAACCCATATACAATCTGGAAACGAGATAACTTAGTAGCACGGTGCACAAAATGATTATAAGAAAACTCAACATGAAGAAGACAATCCTCCCAAGTTTTAATGTTCTTTTTAATCACATCACACAAAAGAGTAGCTAGAGTCCTATTAACCACTTCAGTTTTCCCTTCAGTTTGTGGATGACAAGTAGTAGAAAACAATAGCTTAGTTCCTGTTGGGGTCAAAATTGGTTACGACAGAATCAATGATATGTAGTGTTTTTAATAGTTTTTAGCATCTAATTCTTAATCATATTAGTGTTTTGAGTTGCATTTAGGTGTCTAGATTGCATTTAGATATTCATTTGTATGCATTAGGGGCTGGAATGCACATTCTAAACGTATGAGGCTGAGTTCGAGGAAAAATATGCAAATCTGGGAAGTATTGGGTCATGTGCGTAAATAATCGAAGGCCAAGGGATCGATGTTACAAAATTGGAATATTAGTTTGGGTTTGATTTCCTAATCAGAAAGTTATGGGTTGATTCGAGTGGACGTTTCTGCAATTTCAAAAGTATTGGGGCCATAATGAGAAGACTTGAAACCCTGAGGACCTATTTTGTAAATGAACAAGAGTTCACCATTGGAGGCAACGAGCTTTCTATTCTCTTGGATCTGCGATTCCCACGGTTCCGGCGGCCACCACGACGGGAGAGAGGAGCACACGACGGATAAGCTGTCGTGTCCATGGATTCTGGTGGATTGCGTGGATGAGAGCTGCGTCTTGGTTAAGAGATGCGACGGAG